TGATTCGCTTTGCGCGTAGCTATTCAGATAGTCATACGCTGTGTCATCTTTTCTATACTCATCTGTGGAAATTCCCATACCTTCCAACTCGTACATTTGTCGGAGCTCTTGCTTGACATCAGCACGTGTTTCGGGGCAAGCTACCACTACATGTTCAGTTAGGACTGTCTGCCCGACTGTATCGGATTTCCCGAACAAGGCAGGCCCGAACACTGTGTTCTGTGCCAAGAGGCCTGATGGCAGTTTTGTCGGAGGTGAGTCCAGCATTACAACGTTCTCGTATGCTTCGACCCCTATCAGAATATGTGGTTTGACTAGTTCTCCGTTTGCTGCTGTGTTGGAGAGAAATATATTGTTGCTCTTGAGAAACTGCACATCGGGGCATGTAAGAGCGGCTGATGGGAACGCATTTGTCAATACTGGCTTGGTACGTAGAGTTAGAAATACACTTTCACCAAACCTAGTTCTTAACTCTGCGGTTACCTTTTGTGCTGTATACGTTTCCGCTATGCCTCCGATGCCATACATCGTGCACTGATATGGTTCGCCATGCACGAGTGCAAACTTGTCGGCCAGGCTCCTTCTATCAAATTGCATTGAGCCCCCGAATCTAGGAAGAGAAGGACGTTGTCGTATGTGCCCGTTCTATTGTTTTTCACTTGTGCCTCTACCGTCATGAGGACCAGCTGTTTCGGATGACTATCATTTTTGGCTAGATTGGAAGAAATGTTCATGGACTGTTGCTCGTTTCTCTCTTCTCCAGCTGGCTGCCCTTCGGTCGCAGTCATGCTTCTGGATTGATTACGGTAATTGTTTTTATGCCGTTTCTCTTTTTCTTGGCTGTTTATGCGATCACTCAGCTGTTCCTTTGACCTGGATGCTTTCTCCGGTGTTGCTGACGTTCGCCTGTCCGTGTCCATAGTGCAGAGCGTAGGATGATGATCGCGGTTACACTTAGAGCAGTTCTGCCGTGGACAGACTAGAACAGACCTGTTGTCCTCTCAGTGCTTGCCTGCGATCAAGTGGTGACCTTACTGTGCGGCAGTTCTCGCTTTGGTGGTTTGTTCGCTGACAAAATATGCAGTCTACAGTTCTGCTAGCATTTGCGCGCGTAGCTGCCTGCTCTGAGGTGTCCACGCGTCGAGGTGACGACGTGAGCGTAGAGTATCGATTCTCGAATAAGGCTCTAGCGGAGACGTTATCTTGGAGTTCTTCCAGCAAAGTGCCCACGGTTAGTCTTGACCCACTTGTAATGGTCTTCATACAATCTTTGATGATTTCATACGGAAATTTCGCCAGAATTGTGTCAATCCATAGAGGATCGTGCTCTTTTCCGTATTGCTCAATACTGTTGCTATCATTTGAAGCCAACGGTTCTTTTCACCCTGATCCAGGGCTTGCCTACGCGCAGCTAGCTGCTCTTGAAGGTGCTTTAGGTATGTTCAAGAGCCTTTGCGCTATCTTCGATCGGTTGTTCCCTTTGTTACCGTACTTTTTCTGTAGTACGTCGACAATTAATTTGTAGTTGGAGCCACGCATTGGTATACCCTCGTCATCCGGGCAGTTGATTAGGGCGGTCGTCAACGGGCCGCAGCGCGTGCCAGGACTATTGCTTTTTCCAGGACTAATTTAGTCATTTTTTCCACCTTGTGAAGATAAGGAGCTACTAATCTTGGAAAAAGTAGCCAAAACAGTGAAAAGTTGGAAAAAATGACTAAATTAGCCTGGAAAAGCAAATAGTTCCTGGCACGCGCTGCGGCCCGTTGACGACCGCCCTAATCAACTGCCCGGATGACGAGGGTACTTCTTATTGACTGCTGAGCCTTTCCTCTGATTGACTCCTTCAGATAGAGTATTTTCTCGAGGTCATTCAGCTGCGAGTTTTGATCAATTATGAGGGAAAACGTATCCCAGAACTCTTCCCAAGACTCTTTTTGATCATCGAAATGGGGTAGCGTAAGCTGTGGGTATTTCACCTTGAGTGCTGACGATAGCTCTAGATGTTCCGTTGAGCTAGTGTGATAGGTTGTTGGATTCTGTCCTGGGCATTCCTGATCAGCGGTTGGTAGTAGGCCACATGGATGAAGGTCTTGGTATTCATCATCTTCACAAGGGTCCAAGCCTCTTTCAGGTTGGTTGGGATCTTGTGAATGCAAGTATTTCAGATCTATAATAGCGACTTGCGTGCTTATTTCATGCAGTCTGGCTTTCAGCGCCATTACTAAACAATCTCCTCTTGCTTTGAGGAAAACGCGAAAATTTGCTTTTTGCTTCAGGTTCTTCCATCTCTAAGGGCATTTCCTTTTTCTCAGGTTTAGTCGCCTCTTTGTAAATCTGCGTGATAGTTTGATAGACCTCCTGTAGCGCGATAAGCTTTTTATCAACGTGGTCAAGCGCAATTTGCAGTTCACATCTTCTCTGTTCGCAGTAGACCCGAAGTGCGTGCTCTTCTGAGGGAGGTTGATTTGGCCCAGCGGTCCCCTTGTAGACTTTCGTATTCAACTGATTTGAAGGCCACTTGCTACTCGTCTTCGAGACTTTGTAGCAAGAGCGTGATTTTGCTCATTTTGCTGAGGTTGAGGCAAAATGCTCGTTTGCCGGAATCAGCGGTTCTTGACCTTATATGAGGGAGAACAAGCTGATCTGTTTGCTGCCACGCGGGCTAACTGGAGGTATCGGCCGATGCACCAGAAAAAATTGTGCCGGCCTTCGACCCTGCTCTCGAATTGACTCTCTTTCAATATAATAGTTTATTGAGTAACGTAAACTGATAAGAAACGTTATCAATCGAATGGGAGGCCGCTCCCTCCCTCTCGCAGGAGACAAGTGAAGTCAAGGGCTGCAGCGATGCTCCGCCTATGATGACGAAGCGTTGGGGCTACGTGACGTCGGCCACAACACATCTTCTTGGGTTCTGAACCTTGCCATGGGCGAGATGAATATGTCCGCTGCTGCAGTAGTTTGCCATCTTCTCCGTCTAAAAGTGCACGGGAATGCGGCTCGAGGGTAAGTATACCCGAGAGGCACCTTACACGTGAAAGGCATCATGCTATCACTACCTTACCGCCTTGTTCGAGCGCTCCCAAGTGACGAAAGTGTTCCACTCGTACAGCTGTCCAATTTTTCTTACACATGACAGGGACCCTCTTCGTTGATGAGTGCACATTTTGTCTTCTATACTGGTGCTAGAAAAAATAGTTGCAGAGCCGTCAGAAGAATACGCGGACGTACGAAGTCAGTGCAGAGCACATGAGGGAGCATTCCAAGGAGGGACGAGCAGCAGTACTATCTGAAGCAGCCGAGGCTGGAAGGAGCATTTGGTGAGTCATTCGGAGCTTCACCACCTGCTAGGCCGAATAGACCTGCCTACTGAAGTGCGTTTCACATTCATAAGAGGATATATGAGGCATATAAAAGGTTGAACTGGTCATTTTGTACTTCAACTTTTCTGAAAGACGTTCGTCCGTCTTTTTGATTCTACTAGAATGACATCACTTATTGTAACTTTCCTCAATTTCACACCAGATGAGTTACAGGTGTTTTATCAAGTGTGTACAGTGGGTTTCGCTGCAGATGGTGGGGCGTGTCAGTGCGGCTGCGCTTGGCACGTTGCCAAATCCGTTTCTACCAGGCGTTGAAGCGAGAAACGACAACAACTGGTGGGGAACGACTGATGGGATCGATGTGATACAACTGTCGCTTACACCCTTCAAGGACTGGCGGAAAACGGGTGTGGCACCGTGCCAAAGGCGGCCGCAATGACACATCCCCATCGTCCGCAGCGAATCAGACTGTGGCTCACGTCGTATTTGGGCCGCTCAATTATATTTCCATCTTCGTGAGAGCAGAACCCCCGCTCCCATTTCTAAAAAGGCACCTTATGATCGCCTTGACGACTGTCATCCTATCAGCATAACCTCATTTA